TAACATTATTTTACAGTAATTGTCTTACACAGTATCTCTCCTTACTGAGACTGAGTTCACTCAGCATAATGCTCTCTAGCCTCTTCCATGTTTTATAATATTTTTCAAAGTCATTGCTCCTGAGTGCTGCATAGTATTCCATCGTGTGAACATACCACAGTTTCTCAGTCCATTTGTTTTTTGATGGACAGTTGGGCTGTTTTATTTTCTTTCTAATGTGAATAAAGCTGCCATGAATATAGATGTACAAATCTCTGTTTGTATCTCAGTTTTATTTTCCTTGTGGTATATTCCTAGCAGTGAAATAGCTGAGTCATATGAGATTTCTATGTTCAGCTTTTTGAGGATACACCAAACTGCCTTCCAGTGAGGTTGTACCATTTCACAATCTCACTCGCAGTACACGAGAGTTCCAATCTCTCCATATCCTCTCTGATATTTACTGCTTGCTTACTAAACTTTGCCACTGCTACTGTGGTGAGATGGTGTATCACATTGTGGTTTTGATTTGTATCTCTCATATTGCCATTGATTTTGAGCATATTTCTTCATCTCTGTGTTGGCCATAGGAGTGTCTTCCTTTGCAAAAACTCTTCCCATCAATCTTTACCTTGTCAAGGCCCTGTAGTATTCGGTAAACATTGTTATGAGATCCTGTCTGAGATGTTGTCATCACACTGTCATGATTTTCCCAGTCTTTTCCTTGCCTTTGTTCTGCACGACTTACTTTGGTGGTCTTCTGGGTAGACACTCAGTAGACCTCTCTCCTCTAGCATGTGTATTGTTTGGAAGGAACAGATGAGATGGCTCGTTTCTTCTTCCTCCACTTTGTCTTATAAGAAAATGCTTTAATATAGATACTCTTCAGGAGAGAATGCCAACAACTTTTGTAGCTGTAGGCTTTACTTAGAATTGGCTGCCTCAGAATGCGGATCACTTACTTACTGCTAAGTTGTTGCTTCCAGTCAAGCTCTGGTAGAATTAGGTAAAAAAACACCCAAAAACAACCCACCAAAAAGTGGTTTGTCAGATAATTCAAAACCCAAAGCCCTTTAAGTTCTGCATTGTCTGGGCTTTTCTCAATCTAACCTGAACCACTTTCTCCATAACCCTTGCTGTTTTCCTCTGTCTGCATGCTGTTTCCTCAGTTTATTGCCCGATTGTTTCTAGTATGCTGTTTCCTCCTCTTTGCTCGATTGTTTCCAGTTCATCTTCTTAGTCATTATTTCAGTAATACTACTTTGGCATTTTTCTAAGGCCTTTAATCTGTCAATCTTTTTATATGCCCTCACAACTCCATATTTTATTCATTTACTGCATGTATTTATTTTGCTGTTAACATTGTTGCTGTCAGTCCACTGGCAACTTAACAGCGACAACCTGATGGGAGTAAGTACAATGGAGACGCCACTCCAGGAGAGGATCAGAGAGTCAGTCCAGTTCAACTTTATTAGGATAAGCACTGCACTTATATACACAGGAAGACAGGATAGGGTGGGCTTACTGACATGGGACATGTGGATTGGTCAGGAGAATCTCAGCCTCCTGTGGATAACTCCCTGCTCAACAGACACAGCAGCGTCTTCCCAGGTGTCTAGCTTTCTTGAACCAGTACAGCCAAACACAGGGGAGCTTTCTTTACCCCATATTAAAGGCCATTGGGAGGCTTGCACCTATCTGAAACTCAGGAGACCCGTCCTGGCCAGAGTCCTTCTCTTCCTCCCCAACATTCTGCAGCAAACATTTTGGGTATGCTTTCTGTATTCAATACAGTGTACCCCAGTACAAATGGGGGAAAATTAAAGTATAATATTTCTAGACCAATATGACTATTTGTGCCAGTATTTCTTTATAGTGCCTGCTCAACACAGTACAGCTGGGATCTTTATTAAAGTTGACAGCATAACTAGAGTTTCAGATTTTATATAGATAGGTATAAACACTGCTACACAACAGTAGCAGCAGCTTTTCTAGGTTCTGCAGTCA